GCTGCGGCGCGCGCGTTGCGCCGCCTGGGCCTCTGGGAGGAGTGGCTGCGCATCCGGGAGGAGGACTCCCAGGAAGACTCGCTCGTCGTCGTCGTTCGGCTCCGCGTGAGGGTGGCCGTCAGACGAAGTGCTCTGTGTTCCTCAATCGTTCTGGGGGTACCTGTATTCCGGGGGGGGTACCTGCAGTCTTGGGGAGGGGTACCTGTAGTCCAGGGGGGGGGGCCAGTAGTCCGGGGTGGGGTACCTGTTGTCCGGGGGAAGGGTACCTGGCCCGGCACAGAAACAGAAAGAGCGCTTCAGAAAGAGAAACCGAAATTACTCGCACAACCGTTCGTACTGGGAGCCTTGGCGTTGAGAGCTTGTCACGTCACCCCTCGCTCTTGGGAGCCTTGGTGTTCAGAGATTGTTGCGTTGACGCCCGTTCCTGAACCTTGGCTGGGCCTTGGTGTCAGGAACTTGTTACGTCACCGCTCTCTGCTGGGAGCCTTGGTCTTATCAGCTTGTTTACGTCACCGTTCGCTCTTGGGAGCCTTGGTGTGAAGAGCATTTTGCGTTACCGATCGCTTTTTATTTGGCGTCTCTGGGCCTTCTTAGGAGTCCTATTGGGGCCCGTTTCGGGCCCTTTTGGAGGCCTCTTGGGAACCTCTTGGGGGCCTCTTGGGGGGCTCTGGGAGCCTCCTGGGAGCTTCTTGGGGCGAAAGGCTAGACTTGTCGTTTCGTGGTCCCCCTCTTGGGGCCGTCTTCGGGCGCCTCTTGGGCCGTCTTGGTGCCCTCTTGGGTCGTTTTGGGGGCCTCTTGGGAGCCTCTTGGGCCGTCTTGGGGCGGTCTTTGGGGCCTCTTGAACCGTCTTCAACGCCGTGAAAGCCGAAAAGCCTTGTATGCTAAAAATGCACCTTGTCCCATAGGAAATCAATGATTTTAGCCTCCTGGTGGCCTCTTGGGACGCCTCTTGGGGGCCTCTTGGGGGCCTCTTGAGGGGCTCTTGGGGCCTCCTGGGAGCGTCTTGGGGCGAAAGGCTAAACTTTTCGGTTTGTGGTCGCACTCTTGGGGCCGTCTTGGGGCCCTCGTGGGCCGTCTTGGGCGCCTCTTGGACCGTCTTGGGGCCCTCTTGGGCCGTTTTGGGGGCCTCTTGGGAGCCTCTTGGGCCGTCTTGGGGCGGTCTTGGGGGCCTCTTGGGCCGTCGTCAACGCCGTGAAAGCCGAAAAGCCGTATATGCTAAACATGCACGTTTCCCGTCGGAAAATCAATGATTTTGGCCTCTTGGGGCCCTCTTGGGACGCCCCTTGAGCGCCTCTTGGGCGCCTCTTGGGGGTCTCTTGGGCCGTCTTGGGCGGTCTTGGGCTCTCTTGGAGCGCTCTCTGGCCGTCTTGGGGGGGAATGCAACCAACATGCAAAAGCCCAAGGGAAAACCTGAAAACGGCCATTAACGCCCATTCCCTCGCCCTACGCCACCCCCCCTGGAACCCTCCCTTAAGGGCTTCGCCCCACACCAGAACGTCATCACTCGTATCTCGCTCTTTCCGTTAACCCTAGGGAAGACCTGAAAACGGCCATTCACGCCCATTCCCTCGCCCTACGCCCCCCCCCTGGAACCCCCCCTTTAAGGGCTTCGCCCCACACCAGAACGTCATCACTCGTACCTCGCTCTTTCCGTTAACCCGAGGGAAAACCCGAAATCGGCCATTAACGCCCATTCCCTCGCCCTACGCCCCCCCCTGGAACCCCCCCTCAAGGGCTTCGCCCCACACCAGAACGTCATCACTCGTACCTCGCTCTTTCCGTTACCTGTAGTCTGGGGGGTACCTGCAGTCTGGGGGGGAACGCGTGTTCACGCGTCAACGCACGCGTGGATGTAGTCCTGTGGGGCTACCTGTAGTCCGGGGGAGGGGGGGGGGGGGCTACCTGTAGTCCGCTGTAGTCCGGGGGAGGGGTACCTGTAGTTCGGGGAGTAGTCCAGGGGGTACTTGTAGTCCAGGGGGTACTTGTAGTCCGGGGACCCAGAACTATTGAGAAACACAGGGTGGCTTTGTTGTTGCGTGCCCACAGGGTCCCCCCGAGCGCTGGCTTTCGCGCGTGGATTTGGTCTCCACGCTGCGGCGCGACACGCTATTCTTCACTTCTGGGTCCGCGTCCACGTCCCGAGCCTTTCCCGAGCCTGACGCCCCGCGGAGCGGAGGGACGCGCTACCCGCTCGCATGGCGTAGCGTGTCGCCGGGGCCGCCGCCGCGACACGCTGAGCACAAGTTCCCGACAGTAAGCCTACGCCAGGGGTGTACTCCCTCGTCGTCATCGTCGTCGTGTGGGCGGGGCATCAAAGCTGGCGGGCGGGCCGCGCGGGCGGGACATCAAAGCGGGTGCTTCGGTCGTGTTGGCGGGGCATTCAAGCGGGCGGGCTGGATGGGACACTAGAGCGAGTGGATCGGGCTGGCGGGCGGGCTATTCAAGCGAGCGGGCGATCGAGGCCAGGGCCGTTGTCGTCGTCCTCCTTCTCCTCCTTCTCCTCCTTCTCCTTCTTCTCCTCCCTGATCCTCTTTTTCCCTCCTCTTCCTCCTTCTTCTCCTCCTCCTCCTCCTTCTCCTCCTCCTCCTCCTCCTCCTCCTCCTCCTCCTCCTCCTCCTCCTCCTCCTCCTCTCTCTCTCTCTCCTCCTTTTCCTCCCTCCTCTTCGTCCTCCCTCCCTCCCTCCCTCCGTCCTCCTCTTCTTCACTCCTCCGGGATGCAAGCACGCACGCGCATACACACATGCGCACACTTTTTACGTCGCAGCGCGGCAGAGGCAATCCGCTCGCGCGCTCTAGTAGCTGGGGACGCGCGGCGTACGAATTAACCGGCAGCGAGAGAGGGAAATGAGGAAGAGGGCGACCGCAGAAAACAGGCGGGGGAGGGGGCAGTCACCGCGCAAAGAGTTTCAGGATGAGTGGTCGGTGCGGCCAGCATGTGCTGCGGCGACCTGGCAGTGGGCGCGGAGCGGCATCGCGACCACACCCACGGGCTGAAGCCAAGACTGCTGGCGCTAAGAGCGAGGAGCGAGGCGAACCAAAACGTCAGGAGGGGGAGCGGCACGCGGCCCATCGCGGCGAAAGTGTGAACACCCGAGTTTCCGTCACGAAGCCGTTGGCGCCAGACTCGGCTGCAGAGGTTCGGCGCCAGCAGGATGCACACACGTTTTGAGCGTCTGTATGGGGAGCCACAGGGCTGCGGACGGCGTGCTGCAGCACAGCGCTGCAACGCGGAGCCCACGGGTTGCTGAGCTGCTGAGCACATGAACTGCCGCAGCGGCGCAGCGGGGCGAGCGGCCACCTACAAACGCCAGGGAAGGCCCAGGCGGCGGGGGGCGGCAGGAGCAAGGGAAAGGGAGGAGCCAACGACCCGGCCGGTGCACGCATCGCAGCCGGGCGTGGCGGGGGCGCCTGGCCACAGGGCAGGCAAGGCAGGGGCCCTCGGCTGCAAGAGCAGCTCAGTATCGTTTATCCGACCCCCATCCCCATCCCCATCCCCTTCGAGACCCCCTACCAAATTACCCCCCAGTTGGGGATACACCCCTCGAAACCCGAACGGAACGACCTATATCCCATCGAGTGGGGTAAACCGGCCAGTGTGGCCAAGGCCACGCCACTCGGGATGGGGATCGGTGAAACGATACTCAGCAGCTGGGCAGGCGCGGCCCGGCAAGAATCTGGGGAAGGCCGCCCAGCGCGCAGCCGGCGGGGGTAGCGCGTAGGGCAGCACCCGGCGCGCAGCACGGCTGGTTGGCACCTGGGCGAACAGCATGACGTCCCCAGCACTTGCGCGAAAGAGGGAGTCCACCTTGTGGGTCGAACGCTCCAGCCAGGTCATAACACTGCTTGAGGGGGGGGGGAGGGCATGCCACATTAAGGGGGCAGCACGCGGGAGGAAACACTTGATCGGTGCAAGGACAAGCGAGGGAACAGAGGGCGCCCACCTTGGGGGGTAGGCGACCCGAGCGGGACAAGGGCGGAGGATGGCGGGCCAATGACCTCGGGGGGCAGCACATTCACCAGGAGCACCTGATCGGCGCACTGTCCAGTCGGCACAGGCGTTCAGTTTGGGGGGCAGGCACCCAGCACGGCACCGTCGGCTTCTAGGAGCGTGACCCTGAAGGTGCCCACCTTGGGGGGCAGGCACCCAAGGAAGTCGAAGCCACGTAAGTGCACGGCGTAGGACGCAGCGGGGGCTGCGCCCGGAATGGCGCGACTCGCGCCCGACCGAGCGGCAGCGTGGGCCGCGAGAGGGGCCAACCCTGAGCATCCTGAGTCCACGCGCGCCAGTCCAGGGGCCAGTACCTTCACGGTGGTCCTGGCTGTGGCCAATTTTCTCGCAGGCGAGATTGGTCCCCGAAGGGCCACGAGGCGTCGCTGGCGTGCTCGCCACCTTTGCCCTTCCCCCCGCCTGTATGTCTGTCGCTCCTGCTGCTGGCGCCACACATCATCCCAGTCGACCGAGATGCGACGCTAGCGGCAGGAGGCCCGAATGTCATAGTAGGATTCGTGGAGGTCGGCCAGGAATTGCCCGCAGGAATCCTCGCTGGCGTCCGGGTTGTAGCGCCTTTTGCTTTTCGGTTTACCATCTCGCTCCTCACAGGCCCGGTTCTGTAACATTGCCCCGCAGGTGCTTTTGAGGCGGTTGATGACTTCTGACCAGCTGATGTCGCACTGATGTCGCACTGGGGTGCGCGGTAGAGGCTGTCGTGCGGGTCATGTCAATCACGCCGGTGGTGCGCGGAGTCGCTTCCCCAAGCCTCGGGGCTTGGAGCGGGGGTTGTTCCGCTCCAGGACGACGCGTCTCCCTGCGCGCCAACAGAGTGCCCTCCTCTGCTGCCCCTGGGCCAGTTGGACCAGTCGGCGGCATTGTAGGCGCGCGCGGCTCGCCAGGCCAGGGCGTCGAGAGGAGCTCGGTCTGCATCGCCTCTCTGGCCTGTACCCGTGACGCTGTAGGCCGCGGCTGTTGCTGCGCCGCTGGGGGGGCGGCCACCACGAATGACCCAAGCCAGGTGTGTGCAGTCTCCCCCGTCCCATATCATGACCCAGTCGCGCTGAATTTTGGCGCAGTGAAATGGCCCTGCGCCGATCTCTTCCGCTGGTGCTATTACTGCGCCAGGTGAGACGTCAGGCCAGAGACGCTCCCCCGTTTCGTCAGCCTGTGCATGTCAACGTGCGGAGGGTGCGCCCTCGTCGTCCCTGGCTATGATGTAGTCGCCTGTCCGCACGTCGGGGCCGATTCCACTGCTGGTGCGAAACGCTCGGTCTGAGTGCGGGGTAGAACCCGCGGCGGTGTTCATCGGTGGCTACGAGGGCGGCCACACGGTTGTCTGGGCGGCCACACACATGCACACGCCCACCACGGGAGGCGCGGGATGGAGGATGACATTGGTTCCTTTGCCCCATGACGTGCTGCTTGCCCCCAGTGTGCTCTCTTCCCCCCGTCCCCCTGGACTTTCTATAGAAAGGCTTGGGAGAGACGGTCACCTGAGGAGGGGGTCGAGCTGGTGTTGATTGTTGTTCTTCCTGCCTCCCAGCAGCCCGTCCAGTCTGCCCTCTTCGCCACCGCCCTCTGCCTCCGACCCGCACGCCTTAAACTCGCTCAGCCTTCCACCCATGGTGGAGTCTTACACGGTCGTTCAGTCACAGGCGGATCTTGGATGAAGTCTCGGTTCGAGTTTGGCTAGAGCCAACACAGATTTGTTTTCCAGCAGAGTTGTTAACCACTTGTCACCATTGCAGGATCAGTGGGTCTTAGGCCTCTCTTGAATCAAGGGGCCAGCCGCCTTAGCCTGTGTAGGCCGACAGTGTCCTCTTCCAGCTGCTGCTGTTGCTTCTCCTCCTCTCGGCGGCGGCGAGGTTTTCAGTGGTTCTCGGGGGTTATGTCGTCGGAAGTTGTCGGTGGTGTTGTGGAAGATTTCGGAGTCTTCTGGACGGATGTTTTCGGTGTTGGTTGCTGGAGTTGTTCGGAGGGCCCGGATTTTTCGGTTGGATGTGTTCCAAGATTTTGTGAGGTGTCTGGAGGGGAGGAGGATAATTCTAGGATGATTCAGGAGGAGGAGGAGGGGGAGGAGGAGGAGGAGGAGGAGGAGGAGGAGGAGGAGGAGGAGGAGGAGGAGGAGGAGGAGGAGCATCTCCTTCGGCCCGAGGAGCCTGACCAGAGTGAAGGCTGCGCTTCGAGGGAGGCCCTGCTGAACATGCTGGAGGGGCAAAGGGTCGGGGGAAGCCAACCACCAACCACCTGGCCGCTCGCACTGGGCTGGTGTGGGTGGCTTGATGGCGACCTCCCCAGGGGGAGCTAGGTCAGCAGAGTGCGCCCCCAGTTCCCGACTGCTTGACTTCCGGACGGGAGCCGATCGTCCCTTTCCCCCACAGAGCGTGGGACGCTTTGCAAAATTGTGTATCCCTGGGATCTCCCGCCCCCGCTGAGCAGGAGGTCTCCGGAGATCCCCGGATGTCTCCGGAGTTCTCGGGAGGCAATGTCCGATTGGTTCGCATTGGTATTCTCATGGCATTTCGACCTTCTTTCTTTTGGCCTCTCGGTGGCCTTTCCCACAGGCGAGCGGCGGAAATACGCGTTCATGATTGAATCGCTTCGCTCGTTCCGCCAGCCCGTATTGTCGCACCGCTGTCGATTGCCCGAGTGATCGTTGTCAATGCGGTGCGGCTGGGCGGGGGCTGTTTTCTTGAGGTGCTGCGTGGGGTGCGCTGGAGGTGACGCAGTGACTGGAGTTGGTTTCGGGGGTTCGTCGCAGACTCCTGCGGTGTTGTCTGAGCAATCGTTTTTGGCAGGCTTGTTGGAGTTTCTGGGGAGGCCTCGTGACGGCATTTTGGGGCCTCTTGTGAGCCTCTAGGGGCTTCTGGGGGCCTTTGGGGGGCCTCTTGGGGCTTCTTGGGGGCCTCTTGGGACCTCTTGGGAGCATCTTGGGGCAGAAAGCTCGAACAGTCCGTTCGGGTGCGCAATCCAGGCCCCCTCTTGGAGCCGTCTTGGAGGTCTCTTGGCTCGTCTTGGAGGCTGCTTGGGCGGTCTTGGGGCCCTCTTGCGCCGTCTTGGGGCCCTCTTCGAAGCTCTTGTCTGGGAGCGTCGGGAAGCTGACAAGGCGAGAACGCCGAATCCTTCAAACACTAATGGGACATCAATAATTTTTGCCTCTTGGGGCCCTCCTGGGACGCCTCTTGGAGGCCTCTTGGAGCGTGTTGGGGGCCTCTTGGGCCATCTTGAGGTCATCTGGGGCCATCATGGAGCGCTCTTGGCCTCAGGCCGTGGGGCCGTGGGGCCGTGGCGGCTTCTTGGGCCGCTACTGGATCGTTTCGGAGGCCCCCATGCAGGGCCGCGCCCAAGAGATCCGGCATCTCTGGCAGAACCCTGCCGTCGATCTGCCGAGGATCGGACCTTCCCAGGGCACTTCTCGCTCCGGGACCCCCAGTAGCCGCCACGCGCGCGCGATCTATAATATTGTCAATTGTTACCAGAGGTCTTGGCACGCCTCTGGCCCGTTGGGCCAGCAACGTTTCAAGTTGTACTATATGCTAATGATGTCGCCAGAGGGGGGTCGGCGAGAAAAATTAACGTTTTCGGTTCTAACGATATCGCCTGGGAGGTATTGCTTGCTTTTACGCTTGGGGATGCAGGGCAGGGGAAGGAAATTGCTGAGTAGTTGGAGGCTCTCGCAGCCCTGCTGTTCCCCCGCAGATCTCGGCTTGTCGTCAGCCGACAACCGCGACTACGTTCTTCGCCTGGGGAATCCTGGAATAGGAAAGTGTTCTACCGCTGCTGGCGGAAAACCGGGGGGGGGGTCACTGGGGGTTCCCAACCCGTCCCCCCCCTCGAAAACCGGGGGGGGGGTCACTACCGGTTCGAACCCCTCCCTCCCCCCACCCCAATCCATCATGAAAACAGGGGGGGTGTCACTACCGGTTCGAACCCCCCCCCCCACACCTCGAAAACCGGGGGTCACTACCGGTTCGAACCCCTCCCCCCCCTCGCCGCTGGCAAACGATTTCCGCTCCTCGGGACAGTTGGACAATGGTGGGGATGCTGGGACAGTGGTGGGAACGGTGGTGGTGGGGACAGTGGTGCGGGGATAGTGGGACAGTGGTGGGGACGGTGGTGGTGGGGACAGTGGCGAGGGGACAGCGGGACAGTGGTGGGGACAGTGGGACAGTGGTGGGGACGTTAGTGGTGGGGACAGTGGTGGGAACGCTGGTGAGGACAGTGGTGGGACAGTAGCACAGTTGGGAAAGTGGTGGGGACAGTGGGGACAGTGGGACAGTGATGGGGACAGTGGGGACGGTGGGACAGCACAGTGGGACAGCGGCGGGGACAGTGGGGACAGTCGTGGGTACAGTGGGGACAGTGGGACAGTGGTGGGGACCGTGGGGAAAGTGGGGAGAGCGGGACCGTGGTGGGACAATGGTGGGGAGAGTGGGGACAGTGAGACACTGGTGGGGGCACTGGTGGCGACAGCGGGGACACTGGTGGGAACAGTGGGGACAGTGGGACAGTGGTCGGGAGGGTGGTGGTGGCGACAGTGGTGTGGGGACAGTGGGAATGTGGTGGGTGGGACAGTGGAGGGTACAGTGGTGGTGAGGACACTGGTGAGGGCGGTGGCGAGGACGGCGGTGGGACAATGGGACAGAGGTACAGTGGGGTCAGTGGTGGGGACAGTGGGGACAGTGGTGGGAACAGTGGGACAGCTCAGTGGGACAGCGGCGGGGACAGTGGGGCAGTGGGACAGTGGGGACAGTGGGACACTGGTTGGGGCCGTGGAGAAAGTGGGGAGAGTGGAACCGTGGTGGGAACAGTGGTGGGGACAGTGGGGACAGTGCGACAGTGGTGGGGGCACTGGTGGGAACAGTGGGGACGGTGGTGGGGACAGTGGGGACAGTGGTGGTGAGGACAGTGGTGCTAGGGACAGCAGTGGGGGATGTGGTGCGGACTGTGGTAGGGACCCGGGAGTCGTTTGCTGGCGGTGAGCGTGGGGGGGGGAGGGGTTCGAACTGGAAGTGACACCCCCCGGTTTTTTGGAGGGGGGGGGGAGGCGGGTTCGAACCGGTAGTGACCCCCCCCCCCGGGTTTTTGGGGGGGGGATGAGGGGTTCGAACCGGTAGTGACTTCCCTCTGGTTTTCTGGGGGGGCTCGAGCCTGTAGTGACCCCCCCAGGTTTTCTGGAGGGGGGGGGTTCGAACCGGTAGTGACCCCCTTCGGTTTTCCGGAGGGGGGATGGGGGGGGGTTGCCGGGAGGGGGGGGGGTTCAGCAGGGGGGGGATTTTCGGAGGGGTGGAGAGCCCCGGGTTCCGGAGGAGCAGGGGGGGAATTTTCCACAGTAAAGCGGCGGTGGATCACGCCTTCTCTGTTATAGATGCCTCTGCTTAGTTAGTTGCTCGACGACGACGGACGACAACGACGATGACGACGACGACGCCGACGACGACGACGCCGACGACGACGACGACGATGACGGACGCCGACGCCGACGACGCCGACGACGACGACGATGACGCCGAGAGACGACGACGCCGGCGACGACGACGACGCCGACAATGACGACAACGACGACGACGACGACGTTGGCGGCGGCGGTGGCGACGGTTGGCGACGGCGACGACGACGCCGACGCCGATGCCGACGACGACGACTACGCCGACGCTGACGACGACGACGACGACGATGTCAACGACGACGACGCCGACGACCACGACGAAGACGACGAGGACGACGAGGGACGACAACGACGATGACGACGGCGGCGACGACGCCGCCGCCGACGCCGCCGACGACGACGACGACGATTGTGGCGGCGGCGGCAGCGCGGAGGGGCGGGCAGCCCTCTCCCCACCCACGCCTCGACCTCCTCTTCCTCTTCCTCTCCCTCCTCCCCCCCGGGAAACGACTCTCGCTGAGGCGCCGGCGTCATTTTCGGGCCGAACGCACCCCGCGTACTGTTTTTTTACACACAGGATTCCCGGGAAACGGGTTTTCGCATGCGTTTTTTTTCTTTAATGATGCTCTCGCTGAGGCGCCGGCCTCATTTCTGCTCCCGAATCGTTCCGAATCGTGCTCCCGCTGCAGCGTGGGCCTCATTTTCGGATCGGTGTTTGGCCTCCGTCGTTCAGGATGGCGTTCTCGCCCCAGCGCGGGCCTCTTTCTCGCGCGCCCATCCGCCCGCCACCACCGCGCCGCACCACCACCACCACCACCACCACCACCACCACCACCACCACCACCACCACCACCATCACAACCACCACCAGCACCAGCACCACCACCAGCACAGCACCAGCACCAGCACCAGCACCAGCACCAGCACCAGCACCACCACAACCACGCACACACGCACGCACGCACGCACGCACGTGCACCACCACCCACTACGCACGCGCGCGCGGAGCCACAGGTCCGCTACGACACGCGTCCGCGGATAGAGAAAATCAGCGCCATGGTAAGGGATGGGAGGGAGGGGTAGGACGTCAGATATGACGCGAGCGCACCTAGCTTGTCCCCCTCCCCCTCCCCCTCCTCCTCCGACCCAGCTGCTCGGAACACAGTTCGCTCCTCTCATTGCACGCGCACGTGCGGGCGGGCAAGGCCGGCAGCCTCCGGCCGGGCACGCTGCGCCTTGGCTGCGGTCTGGTGGGCCTGCGCGACGCCGGCGGCCTGGGGCTGCTTTGCGAGCTGCAGGGCGGCGGCGGGGCCGCCGCCGCCGCCGCCGCTGCTGCAGAGTAGCCTGGAGGTAAGAAGGGGTTGGCGCAAAGGGGTGTGGTGCCAATCGCGGAAACGGAGATGTAATCTACGATAGGTGCATCGCCAGATTCAGCACTGGCACCACACCCACCCCTCTATGCCACACCCCTGTCCTACCTTCAGGAGTCGGTGGCTGCGAGGTGCTCGGAGGTTTCCGTGGGGGTTTCGTGGGCCGTTTTGGGGCCTTCGTGGGGCCCTCGCGCCGCCACGGCCGGGCGCGGCCCGCAGAGCTGGGCAGAGTGGGTGCCCTGGGAGGGGTCGAGGGATCCGTTTTGAGCGGATTCGGATCGGGTCCCCCGCAGGGGTGCGAAGGCAGCTGCGCTTGGCTCTTCGTCGTCTGGCCCGAGGAGTCGTCCTCTGCGGCGCGCGGGTGCGCGCTTCGCGTGGCGCGGAGGCGCGGCTTTGGCCGACCCAGCCAGAGGAGGTGGTCGAATGCTTGTGGTGGCTTTCGTTTTTTCGGTTTCGGGGGCCTGGGGCCACTTTCGGCAGCTCGAGCTTGGCGAGGGCTTCACAGCGGTAGTGGCTTTTCTCGGGGCCGCGTTGCCGCTCCAGCTTCGTCCCCCGACATATGGGTGTCGTGAGAAGCCGCGACTGTCTTCTCTCCCTCCGTGCCCTCAGGTTTTTATGGATCGACCTGGCCCGAGGAATCTCGCACAAGGACGGGGCCCATGGATCGGGCCGAGCTTCTCTCGTGAGGTCGTGCTGTTGCGTGACCCCAGATGCCGGGAACGGCCGGATGCACAGGTTCACAGCCCAGAGGCATTCGGGGCAAGGGGTGCCTCGGGTCCCTGGCTCGCCATTTCCTGATCCACCCAGGTGGCAAGAGCAAGGCTGCAGCCCTTCATGCAGCAGTTCTCTCAAAGTTGCCAGAGGGCGGCACCGTCGGGGCGCCTTGTTCTTTCGCTCTTCCTCCGCCTGCTGCTGCTGCTGCTGTTCCTCTGGCTCCTCCGCTGCCATTCTGCTGCTACTGCTGCTGCTCCTGCTTCGTTTCCCGGTCCTCCTGCTGACTCCATCCGCAAATAGCTTTTCCTCGTCGCACCACCGCTTCCGTCCGTGGTGCGGACCAGGCGTTTCGCTCGAGACTTCCTCACACTTGGCTCAGCTGCCTGCGGCACATCCCGCAACCGTGCCAGCGCAGCAGCGCAGAGGGGAAGACTTTGAGTGTAGATCTGCTCCAGTTCAGCTCCCTCTCCGTTTCGCGCGGGTGTTTGATCACTCCTTCCCGTCCTCAGCCTTGTCGTCGCCGTCGTCGTCCCCCCTTCTTATCTTTCCTTGGTGTCCTTTCCCCTCTTCCTTCCCCTTCCCCTCTCTCAGGCGCTCCAGTTCAGTGTCTTGTCTGAACTCGTGCGGCTTTTGAATGCCCTTTTGTTGTCGTCCGCAGACTCATTATTCCCCCTTCCTCCCCAGGTCCGCAGCCTCCTTTTCTTCACCTCAGCTGCCCTGGAATGCCTGTTTTGAATAACAACACGCGCCGTGTTCAAAACGTCCGTGTTAATACGCTGCGTGTTGGCTCAACGTGTTGGCCCACGTTTTGACGAACACATCGCGCCAAACGTACATTTTCAATCTCCGTGTTGAGCTCCGTGTCAACACGCTACCGGGTTGCGTGTTGCGTATTGGGGTGCCTCAGCTCCTCAGTTCAGGAGCATGCTGGGGGTCTTGGGGGCCATCTTCGAAGGGGGGACTCTCCCAAGACCAGTTCGAACTCCCCATTCTGGGCCCCTCTTGGGCCCCTCATGGGTCAGTATCTTTTCACTGA